GGCCGGGGCCCCCTCCCCCTGTGCCTCCCGCCACCACTGCTGCTCCTGCTGCCTCTGCAGCCCCAGCCAAGGCTGAAGCCAAGAAAGAGTCTGAGGAATCAGACGAGGATATGGGATTTGGTCTGTTTGACTGATCCCTCAGAGCAACCAACTCAGCCAGTTTAATTTGAGAAACATGGAAATAAAAGCTTACTTCTGTTAAAAAAAAATATATATAGAATGCTTTTTGCTTTTGCATGTCATTTTAGTGCAGGGACCATGCTAATCTTCTCTATATCGTTCCAGTTTTGGTATCTGTGCTCTCCCTGTGTATGAACCACTCCATGCATCTAGGCAAATACACTGAGTAACAACCCCAGGCCAAAAAGGACCTCTTTCTTCTAATGTGCCCATCCTTAGTGTTCGGTGAAGCTTGGAGACTTTTCAGAGACCTATTTCTACTTCTGTAATTCATCATCCATGAGATTCCTATCTATACTTACGAAGGAATTGTGAAAAATTCATAAATGACAAATTTAATAGGAACCCAAGGCTCCTGTTATCTCTCACTTTTTAAAATTTCTGTGAGACAGACACTCATACCTTCTGGACAGCAACTTCTTCTGGCTCCTTTTTCAGATATGATGGTTTTGGAGCAAATGGAAAAGAGCAGATAAAAAACAATTTCTTTTTTTTGCATTCCACCCCCAGCCAACAGCAGCAGATGAGCTATTCCTTAATTGTACCCTTCACCTCAAGGATGCTAGAGATGTCTAGAGGTAGTTATTATTTCAATGAAGAGAACAGTAAGGAAGCATGTAAGCATAAATCATGGAGAGATGTTTGAAAAAGTAGAATATGAATTCAGATATGGTTTGCCATCGCTGAGTATTGTTTTCATGGTTTTTTAAATTTTTTTTAGTCAGGGTCAGTCTCAGTATATAGTAAAGGCCAGCTTGGAACTCTCAAGCCTTCTGCCTCAGTTTCCTCAGTCCTGGGATTACCGGTGTGCATGACCACACCCAGCTATTGTTGTTGGGTTTTTTTTATACTTACCTGGATGTTTTTATTCTTACCTGGATTCTGAAGATATTTCTAGAACCAGTTTTGTACTATAATAGAATACAGTCGAAATATGATCATTGATTTCTTGTTTTAATATTAACTTTATTTGTATGTGTTTATGCTTTAGCATATATGCATTACACTTGTACAGAAACCTACAAAAGTCAGAAGAAGCCTCAGATTCCCTGGAACTGGAGCTACAGGTGGTTGTTAGCCATCCAGTATAGGTGCTGGGAACCCGGGTTGTCTGCAAAAGCAGCAAGTGCTCTTAACCTGTGAGCAATCTTCCCAGACCCTATAATTGATTTCTTAATTGAATTCTAACTATATACTATATGATTTGTCCTTATGATATACAATATACAGAATGGGGGTGTAGCTTATTGTACAGTACTTGACTGGCATATGAAAGACCATGGGTTCAGTCACTAGCACTACAAAAAAAAATTACAATGTTGACAATGCATTAGGCTTTAGTACATTCAGAAGTAACCATTTAGTCAGTTGTCCGCATCACCATTATCTAGTTCCAGGACATTGTCAATAGTCCATAAATATTATACCCACTAGGTTCATTCTTCATTCCTTACTCTCCATCATTAATATTCCTGGCTAATGCTGACAAAATTTTAAGCTCTACATGTTCGCCTATTCTGGACATTTCATAGGAGTAGAATTATATAATACATGGCCGTTTGTGTGTCTGACTTCTTTCACTTAGCACAGTGTTTTCAAGGTCTATCCATGTGTTGCTTGTATCAACACTTCATTCCTTCTTTAGGGCATAATTATATTCCACTGAGTGTAAACAACAGATTTTATTTGTCAATTTACCATTTTATTAGCATTTAGACAAATTTTTTGTTCCAGTAATGCTGCTCTGCACATTTGTGTGCATATCTGTGTGTTGGCTCTGTTTTCAATTCCGTGGGGTATATATGCCTAGGAGTGGGATTTTTAGGTTATGTGAGAGCTCTTTATTAAACCCCTTAGGAAGTGACTTAAGTGATTCCCAATCTGATCCCCCCAGTGACTATCATTTTACAGTCCCACTAGCCATACATTAGGGTTCCAATTTCTCTGAATCTCCAAGGGTTCTAATGTCTATCAATTTTAATTATAACCATTCATCTTTGAACATATAGTGTTTTGGCTTCTACTAATTAATACTTCTGAGTATCTTTTATGTGCTTAGTGGACACATGCATCTCTTGGGAAGGGTCTGAATCCTTTGTTCATATTAATTCATTTCTGTTTTGGTTTGGTTTTTTGAGATAGGATCTTACTACATAACTCTGGCTGGCCTGGAACTTACTCTGTAGACCAGGCTGGCCTTAAACTCACAGAGATCTGCCTGCCTCTGTCCTCCAAGTCCTAGGATTAAAGGTGTGTGCCATCACCTCCTGGCTGTATGTAACTTTATAGATCAGCCTTGAATTTCTTCCTTTCTGTAGGTCTGTTTTTTCCCCGAGACAAGGGCTCATGTATCCCAGGCTGACCTCAAACTTGTTATGTAGTCAAGAATGAATGACTTCCTGTCTCCACCACTCATAGCTTTAGGTGTGCACCATTATGTCCTGTCTGTTCCTCTGCCCATTATTATTGTAAATTATAGTATAACCATTTGACATGTATTTGAGTATAAGTAAGTTA